TGGGTGGGATGGGTGTGAGTAGAAGGTTCTGAAATACTGTTTGCGCATGTTAGTTTGAGATGTCTATTAGCCATCCAAGGGGAGATTGCAAGGACGCAGTGGGAGATAATGAGGCTGGAACTCGAAGAAGAAGTTGGGACTGAACATGTAACTTTGGGTGTTGGTGTATGAAGCCACGAGGCTGAATGAGATCACCTAGGGAGAGGATATAGGCAGAAAAGAGAAGTTGTCCAAGGAATGGCCCTCTGAGATCAGCCCTGCCCTAAATTCTGCTTCCGCTGCAGGAAGGCGATATATCCTCATGCTGGAAGAATTGGCCTCATTTCGCCTTGTGCCAGATGGCTGATTCACACTACAGGTGTGAGGATAAATGCAGCAATACAGTGTCCTGGAAATTAGAACCCAAAGGAGACCAACCAGTTACAATTAAAATTTCTAGTTAGGGGCGCCTGGGTGGCGCAGTCGGTTAAGCGTCCGGCTTCAGCCAGGTCACTATCTCGCGGTCCGTGAGTTCGAGCCCCGCGTCAGGCTCTGGGCTGATGGCTCGGAGCCTGGAGCCTGTTTCCGATTCTGAGTCTCCCTCTCTCTCTGCCCCTCCCCCGTTCATGCTCTGTCTCTCTCTGTCCCAAAAATAAATAAAAACGTTGAAAAAAAATTAAGAAAAAAAATAAAATAAAATTTCTAGTTAAAATTTCTCGTCTCCCTGACCCCAGTTCAGTTGGGGTTTGAACTAGCAACCTAGAGGCAAGCTTCTCCATCCTAGTACAGGTTTGCCAGGCGCCCCTGGCCTTCTCCTCTGGGGTTCTCTTCGCCTGTCTCCAGGTCCCGCCCAGGGTATTCTCCTCACCCAGAAGAATGCTTAGTCCCTGGCCAAGCAGGACATCCTTTCACACTGAGCTGGAGACTGAGGGCTGGAGAAAGGGGCCCTCCAAGGCAGCAGGGGCTTGGATAGGAGCCATCCTACACATTTTACCCATTAGTTGCAAATCCTTTCATGATGTTTTCCATTCCCCTTATAATGAGTCATCAAATGAGCAGGGCCTCTGCTAGAAAGTTCATAAGAACCTTACAGGATTTGGTGGTTTGAGCAAAGAGAAGAAATGGCTGATGGTAGCCTTGCAAGGCTGCAGTCAGAACCTCCTTTCAGGGTTGCTCTTTATTTCTACAACTAGATTACCAGGGAGATACATGAGGAAGAGTGTTGAGGAAGAAGCTCTCCGAGTGCGTCCTCAGCTTCCCCGCTTCCTCAGCTTTAGTGTCACCACTCAGGCTCCCTAGGACTTGCCGGAGGGAGTTCCAGCCAAGAAAAGCACCCACGGAGAGGAGAAAAGGTGGAAAACAATAGCAGCAGAGATGGTGTTTATTGACGTAAACTTTCCGGCGCCCCACCTCACTTTCCAGAGACGCCATATTTCCCCACCTTAGCTGTCATTCTTTAAAATGATTCTAACATACACTTGGTTGACCTGCCCACTCCTTCCCTCTCTTGGCTTGATTCTTTTTTTCCTTTTGTCTTCCTCTTTGTGGCAAAGGAGCAGTGGACAGACATAGCTGTTCCACAGCTTTTGAAGTCCCAGTTGGCGGGTGCCTGTCCCAAGGCCTCCCACTCCCCTTTTCTCTCACATTCACCGGAGACTCTCCTCTTTCGCTTTTCTACCCAAGAGGGAAGGTGGTCCAAGGAGCCCACCACTTGAAAGCAGAGGCCGTGTTCATGTAGCTGGTGCCCAGCTGTTTCAGGATGGGGTTCCCTCTGAGTCAGCTCTGGGAACTCAGCACACAGTAATAAAAACTGAGGAGTCTGTGATCCCTGGAGAGTTGGAAAGACAAAACCCATTTGCTCTTATATTCAATCGGGGTCCCGGAATACAAAAGTGAATTACAGTTTACTCTCTGCTTCTCGTAACTGGGAAGAAAGGAAATATTTTTGATGTGTCCAAACTCCACATGCAAACATTTATGGAAGTCGGTGGAAAGGGTGCCTTTGTTGGCCCTTCTCCACGAAATGGTTCCTACTGTGTATCAGGGGGCATTCTTAGCAGAATCCACAGAGGCAAGCATTACAAACAATCTTTTGTGCTAAACAAATTTTGCTAAAGACATTGATATTACTAGGTACCCTTTCTACTCCAAAGAGCTACCTCACGGTTCAGGCATCCAGAATTTTCATTCCTCGTTTATTCATTCAGCATCTTTTTATTGAATGACTACTAGCCCAGGTTTGGTGCTGTGTGCCTCAGAAAAAATGGAGAACAAGGCAGATGAGTCTTACAGTAAAAATGATGGGAGAGGCAAAGAAAATAAACACATCCAAATTATTACACATTTTAGTAAGTGTTATGAGGTATCTGTGGGCTCCTAGCCCAGAGGGTGAGGTTTGATGAATTACAGGCTAAACATAGAAATAAATGTGACTTGCATTAATGACTTGCTTTTACATGTAACTTAGGAAATATTTTTTGGAGAGTCACAACAGGATTTTAAAATGGAATCGCTTGCCCCAGAACTATAACATCTGCATTATCCGTGATCTCATGAAGGCAGATCACATCTCCTAAAATGCCTTTCGTGTGATGTGGCTTTGCCTCTGTGAGGGAGAGAAATCAAAGAAACAGCCCAATCGCCCTAACGACAGACTCTACTGGTTGTCTACCCAACAGCTGTTTACCCAACTCCCCCACCTCCTTTTCCATGATCTTGTGTAATGTCTGCAGAGGTTTTTGTGACATTGTTCTCGAGACAATGGTCTAAAATTCACTATTGGGAACTTGTTTGGGAAAAAAGTGGATAATGTCCTCTCCTTAAGAGAGGTGATATTATGGAGGTCCAAAGGAAGCAATGTCGTTTGACACTTTCTCTTCTTATATTGCTTTCCTGGACTTAGCGAATGAAAGCTATACCATAGCCCTCTGCTTGTCCTTATTTTAGCTCTCTGTCTTAGTTCTAGGGAGGGCTCTATATTTGACCCAACTTGATACAAATCTCATCAGCACAGGACTTGTTGACCCACTCCAGTTCTTTCTCTTTCTTCTATATCACCACTGACAAATGTGGACTCATATGGGTGGTGCTTCCCCAAGAACACACATCAAGCTGAGCGTAAGGGGGATGCCTCAGTGCCTGGGTCATGTTTGTAAGGTTAGTTCCTGAATTGGTTTTCAGTCTTTCCACTTCTCTCATCTCATCTTGATGGTGTCCTTACCACCTTTGCTGCCTACTAGTCCCATCCTGGAAAACTCCCTATCAATTAATTTGGTCCTCAGCCCGCCTGCTCCACATCTCATACTTGGACTAACACTCTCCCTTGTGAACTAGTGTTATAGCCTTTTGTTCTGAGCTGCCAGCATCCTTTGTTAGGGAGAAACCACTCCTCTCCTCTCCTCTCCTCTCCTCTCTGTCTCTGTCTCTGTCTCTGTCTCTCTTCCTTTAGGTGCTATGTCACATGGTCTAGTCTATATCCAGCACAAGAGTGGGAGTGAGGACAATCATGCAATTCAAAATTGAATCCGACTCTAAAATTTAACCAATCAATAATCCTATTGGTGAAAACTGGGTGGAAATAGTGAGGATGTGCTTGGGCTGTTAAGCTCTGTGGTTGAAAGAAATGAGGAAAAAACCAACTGAGCAGTGTAGGTAATACAATAGCCAGTGGCCAGTCCCCTTGGAAAGGCCAATGGGCCTGGTTCTCCACTGTGAAGTAACTTGGTCTTGGTATAATCATCTCTTTGTGTTTCCTGAGCAGCTATAATCATATCTAGAACTGCTGCTGAATCCAATACTTCTGGGGATGAGCCCAGGTTTGAATAACAGCTATCATATAAAGAATGAAGTTATTATGCAGCTAAGTGGCCTCCTAGATTATACTGTCATCAAAAGAACTTTTTTTCTGGACACAGGCAGTGTTACCCTTTAGGAAAACCCGATATGAAATATTACGTAAACTGGAAAGTGACTATCTGCTTTTTAAAAGGAGTACCATATAATTCTTTTAAACCTGGAACAAAAATATTGCCTGCTGGAACACATTATTTTTCACACACACACACACACACACACACACACACACACACACGGAGAATAACTCCAAAATAAACAAACAAAACCAAATGAGTGACTCCACTTATGGGAAGGTAGAGTAGATAAAGTTTTCCGTATTCTTCCTTGGAGGAACAACTGAAAAATACAACTAAAAACCCTGGACATTATATATTAAAGAAATGTAAGGAGACGCTAAAACGGGAGAGAAGAAGGTATATTGTCTAGGAACATTGGGACCCATGGGCAAACAAAACATTGATGAGTTTTCATCTCATATATCCCAGCCTTGGAGCTGAAGAAACTGGCAACCTGGAAACACCAACAGGCGCAACCACACACACACACACACACACACCCCAAAAGTCTACTCCCTCTGGCCAAAGTTGTAGGAAATGAGTAGCTTAGCAAGATAGAAAACTTTTAGATTATAACTTCTCTACTCTAGACAAACACCACCAAAAAAACTATGACCCCACTCCCACTCAGCAAAGACCTGGTGGAAAGCTTAGACTCCACCTTCACCAGGCTGGAGCAAGCCCCCTAACATTACACCCCTACCTCCCCAATTCCCTCTCAGGGTGGTGTTAAAAAAAGCTAAGTAGGGAGCTAGGACTTTCATCCTGCCAGGTGGTAATTAGAAGCCCCATTCCAGGATTAGTGAAGACCAAGGAAACCTAGACTTCCATCCCCACTCAGCAATAATGAGGTGCCACCACCAGGCCCCCAAACAGGAGTGGTGGTAGAGGAAGCTTAGTGAAGAATCAGTACCACTGTGGCAGAGTGTGGCCACTCTTCCAATGGTACCAGTGAAGGCTACGTGGGAAACAGTAACGAGACACTCATCTTCCTCCAGGGAGATACCAGTGGAGGGGCACCCACCTCTGGCCAGCAATAATGAGGAGTCCCCCTTGGGTACCAACAGAGGTCAAGTGGGAAACATGGCAGTAATTAGGCAGTGGACTTACCCCCTTCTTCTGCCAGAGAGATGTCAGCAGAAGCCAGCCAAAACAGAAGGCTTCGATAAGACTCAGAGTCTTGTTGAATCAATAAGATTCAAATGCCTAGGTTCCAATTCCCATCACTCATCATACCAGGAACCAGGAAGATCTCTGAAAGAAAAAAGGAAATCAATAAATACCTTCACCTAGATGGCAGAAATGTAAGAATTATCTGACAAATATTATATGGCAGTCCTCAGAAAAATGCTTCAAGGAGCAATTAGGAACATTTCTGAAACAAATGAGACTATTGAGTAGCTCAGCAAAGTCTCAGCAAATAAATGCAACATATAAAGAACCGAATGGAAATTTTAGAACTGAAACATATGAGGAGTGAAATAAAAGCTCAGTGGATGGGCTCAACAGGAGAATGGGGAGGACAAAAGAATCAGTGAACTGGAGGATGAAACAATAGAAATTACCCAACCTGAGCAACAGAGAGACACATGCTGGGAAAAGTAAAACCAGAAATGAACAGAGCCTCAGGGTCAGCGAGACTGTAACGAAAGATTTAACATTCATGTCATCAGAGGCCCAGAAGAATAGAAAGAGGGCAGGGCTAAAAAGAAGTACCAGAGGTTGGAAACTTCCCAAATTTGGCCAAAACTACAAATCCACATGTTTAAGAAGCTGAGAAAACTCTCAAGCAAAGATTACTCAACTAAAGCCACCCTAAGATACACCACAGTCAAACTTCTGAAAACTAAAGATAAAGAATCTCGCAAGCAGTGAGAGAGGAGCAGTGCCTTACCTGTAAGGGGAAAACAATTCAAGCGACAGTAGATTTCTCAGAGGAAACTGCGGAGGCCAAAGTGAAGCAACACATTTTCCAAGTGCTCAAAGAAAAGAATCATTAACACAAAATCTTATTATAGTCAGCGAAGATACCATTCGGTAACAAAGAGGAAATCAGTATATTCTCAGATACAGGAAAGCAAGAGAACCTGTCAACCAGCCTTACCCTAAAAGAATAGCTAAAGGAATTTCTGTAAACAGAATAGAAGTGGCAAAAGAAGAAATCTTGGAACACCAGAGAAGAAGATGAATGGACATGGGAGGCACACATATGAGTAAACACAATAGACTTGCCTTCTCCATTAGAGATTTCTAAATTATGTTCGATAGTTGCAGCACAAATTTTAACATTGTTTGATATGGTTCTCAACCTATGTAGAGGAAATATTTAAGACAATTATAAATGGAGAATGGTAGAGAAAAATAAAGAGTAATAAAGTGGCTATACATCACACAAACTAGTAAATGTTGATGTCAGTAGGCTGAGATAAACTATGCATATACAATGTGATACCTAGAGCAACCCACAAAAATACTACTATACAAAGAAATACACTCAAAAAGACCACAGATAAATACAAATGGAGTTTGAAAAAATGTTCAAGTGACCCCCAGGAAGGTAAGAAAGCAAAAACAGGGACGTGAAAAACAGAGTAAAGGAACAGACAAGACACATAACGGCAGACTTAAGCCCTGAGATATAAATAATTATAGTAAGTGTAAGTGGTCTACATATGCCAAATAAAAGACGAAAGGTGGCAAAGTGGATTTAAAAACATGACCCAACTATAAGCAGACTATAAAAATCTCCAAATATAATGATGTAGGCAAGTTGAGAACAAAAGAATAAATGGGTAGACCATGAAAACATTAATCACATGAAAGAGTGACCACATTAGTATGAATTCAAGTAGACTTCAGAGCAAAGAATATTACTAGAGCCAGAGAAGGACACTCTATTGATAAGAGAGTCAATCTACCAAGAAGACATAGCAATCCTAAATGTGTGTGCACCAACCAACAGAGCAGCAAAATATGTGAAGCAAAACCGATGCAATTGGAAGGACGAAAAACCAAATCCATTGTTATTCCGGGATACTTCAACATCCCTTGCTCAATAATCAACAGAATACCTGGAGAGCAAATTGGCAAAGATGTAGGATTCAACAGAAGTTTCTTTTTTTTTTTTTAATTTTTTCTTTTTAACATTTATTTATTTTTGAGACCGAGAGAGACAGAGCATGAACAGGGGAGGGTTAGAGAGAGGGAGACACAGAATCTTAAATAGGCTCCAGGCTCTGAGCTGTCAGCACAGAGCCCGACGTGGGGCTCGAACTCACGGACCACAAGATCATGACCTGAGCCGAAGTCAGACTCAACGGAAATTTCAACCAATAGAATCTGAGTGCCATTTAGAGAGCACTCCACCCAACGATAGCAGAAAATATATTCTTTTCAAGTGTCTAAGGAGCATATAGCAAGATAAACCACATCCTAGTTAATTAAACCGAAACAAAATGAACTCTAAAAAGGCCTTGTTAAAAGGATGAAAATATAAACTACGGAGTGGGAGGAAATATTTGTAAATTATCTATTTGTGATATAATTTGGATCCAAAATATATAAAGAATTCCCAAACTTACTATAAATTGGCCAAAAAAACCAATTTAAAAATGGGCAATATATTTGAACAGACAACTTGGCAAATAAAATATCAGATGCCAAAGAAGCACATGAAAAAGTTCTCAATATTATTAGTCACTAGAGAAATGCAAATTAAATTATATAGAAATATCACTTACACACATATTGGAAAGGCTAAAGTGAAAGCTGTCTGGCCGTACCAAGTGTTGGCGAGGATGTAGAAAAACTAGAACTCTCACACAGCACTGGTGGGAATGCAAAGTGGTGCAAACATTTTGGAAGACAGGTTCAACTGTTTGCTAAAAAAGTTAAACACACGCCTAACATGTGATTCAGCCATTCTATTCCTGGGTATTTACCCAAGATAAATGAAAGTGCCTAAGCATACAAAGACCTGTTTATGAATGTCCATAGCAGCTTTATTTTTAATAACCCCAAAGCGGAAACAATCCAAATGCCCATCAACAGGTAAATGGGCAAACCGTTATCAGGTGATCACACAGCAACAAAAAGGAGTAAAATATTGATGCACATTTCAAATGGATTGATATCAAAATGATTTTGCTGAATAAAATAAGCCAGACAAGCAAGAATTTATAATGTATGGTTCTATTTATATAAAATCCTAGAAAATGCAAAAGCAGACCAGTGCTTGTCTGGGGATTGGGGTGAGGGACAGATGGGGAGAGATGGGAAGGAGGGGTTACAAAGGAACATAAGCAAATTGGCAGGTGATGAATATGTTCTTTATCTTGATGGGAGTGATGGTTTCATGGGTCTATACATATGTCAAAGTTTATCATACTATATGCTTTAAATGTGCACAGTTCATTACAGGACAATTATAAAAAATACACCTGTTCAAACAAATTCTATGCTAATAAAAGTTTGACCATTGATCACAATTATTACAGAACTCTTTACCTCAAGTAGTATTTGTTGAGCATATATCTAATGCAATCAGTTATAATCAAACCACAAAATAAGAGTAATGTAAAAAAATCTCTTCCAAAGTCATCAAAATTAATTGCAACATTTGACTGGTTTGAAGGAGTTCAGATAATTATCAAAAGATAATTCAAAAATACTCTTTTCTAAGCAAGCATAGAGAGTTTTAATTTGGGGATATAATGGTGATTGGAAATTTGTTATAATGAAAGAGGATAAATAGAAACAATTTTTTAATGAGGGAATGAGGGCTCCAAAATTAGAACTCTCTATTTAAAATAGTATTTGGCTTACAAACCCTTTAACTGCACTCAACCTTTGAGATAAATACTTATCCCATAAAGTAAAAGGATATGTAGAACAAGGTGGTCAAACTGACCCAGAGCAGCAGCCAATGTCAATTAACATTATTGAAAATGTTTGTGCAGTTTTTTTTCAAAGCTGTTGTCCTTTCCTTAGTTAAAACTTTATTTGTTAACATTCATTCACTAGATCCCAAAGTCCTACCCTATGAGTAGGTGGATTTATTCATGCATGTCCTGAGTTGCTTGTGAAATCTGCCTTGCTTGCTCACACCATAATAAGGTTTTTCTGAGGTCGTATTATTGCCTCTAATAACAGCATCAATACAATTTATAATGCTGATTTTTCTTCATGCTGAAGCACTGCATGTGTAGCCCTGAAACTGTGCACTGGCTGATTTTACCTGGTTCCGCCTGGGTTGTTTAATCAGCTAAGAGAGAAGGGTTTTCTCTAAATCCATAGCTATTACAAGATAAACCACGCCTAGCTCTGTGGGTAGTGTCATTGACTTACTATGCAGCAGTGATAAGCAGATGAACATTCCTCCAGACCCAGTCTAAAGCACAGGCAACTAAATCTTAAACTAAGATAGTGTCTATGGAAAGAAGGAGGGTGGATCCTTATTGTAGTGTGGAAACAAAAGCAGAAGTTGACTCACTCGAGTGTGCTCATCCTCTAGACATGCTAGGACCTCAGAGCCTGGTAGAGGAAGAGAGAAGAAATCTGGGAACTGCCAGGCTCAAGACTAGGGCACCAAGATTGTAAAATAGGATTGGCCCTTAATGGGGTCCTGGAGCAGCCATCGACATAATATCAGGTGAAAAAGATGTGGCATAGGGCAGCATCTATATCTAAGTGGAAGCCTTGGGGCAGAAGCAGCTGCCCCAGAAACTAGGGTCTGTGGGCCTGATCTGGCTTGTCATCTCTTTTTGTAAATAAAGTTTTATTAGGACATGTCTGTTCACGCTACAGTGGTAGAATTGATACACTGTAGGGTTTACAAAGCCAAAACGTTTTCTATCTGACCCTTTAACAGAAAATGTTTGGTAACTCCTGTCCTACCGGAGGATGAGGGTTGGAGTCAGCATTGTGGTCCCGGCTGCCATGTTTGGTTTGAAGACACATCCTAGGTATGGGCTGAGGGAAAAGAGGGAAAAGACAAGGTATAGGCTGGATGTCAAAACCATAAGCGAATGCTCTAGAGTTCAGTACCTCAGGTACAGGCAGAAACCAAGGCAAAATTTCATTCCTATTGACAGGACAAACATGGTGGGAATTAAGTCAAGAATGAGGTTCGGTAGGATTGTGGGATTCAAGCTTACCTCAGTTATGGAAAATACCAAGTCTAGGACAGTGAGTCCAATTTTAGTGACCGGCTGGTGGGTGTGAACCAATGGTCAGTTTTAAGTGCTCAATGCTCACCAGAGCTGGAAGGCAGAGGCTGCCCCAGAAAGAAGGAACTATCGAGTCCAAATAATTTGGATCTTTCTTCTAGAAAATAGGCGTATGGTGTCATCCTCTCTATTTCCTCTTAAGTATGGTAGCTTGTCACCTCATCAACCCAAGGTGATGAGATTGAAATGCCTCCTGGGTCGGGTAGCCAGGTTTAGCAAATAAAAATACAGGACACTGAGTTTAACTTGAACTTCAGATAAACAATGAAAATGATTTAATATTAGTATGTCTGACACATAGCATTGGACACATTTATGATAAAATTTATTTGGAATTTAAATTTAACTGGAATCCTGCATTTTGTCTGGTAACCTCATTCCTAGGACACTGGCCACCTTTGTTATAAATCGTGACTAAACAAACAATGTTTTGACTTCTGGGGCAGCAAGAAATTTCTAGTCCTTTGGTTTCTCTTTTAGTCTTTTTTTTTTTTTTTTTTTTTACCCTTCTCCCTCTCTCCACATACAGACTTCTTCTTTCTCACTTCTTTCCAGTTCCTCTCTATGACTTCCTTTCAAGGGTTGTCTGGCAGAAAGGACCGATGACATCTACCCACAGTTCCAAGAATTATAATATGGCTTCAACTGCCATTGATTAAACCAAAAACAGGGCTGAAAACTGAGAAAGAAGAAGTCAATCTTCTTAATGTGACTCACAGGAAGGAAACCTGGTGAGCAGACAGTTGGATGATAGGCTTCTGACTCACAGAAAATTTCTTTGCTAAAGATTTGTAGACATCTATCACCGTTAGTTTGCCATTGACAAACCACTAACATTTCCCTAGCAGCACACAGAGTCTTGGTTTAAAAAAACAAAACAAAACAAAACAGAAACACCTGGGTTTAGATTAACTGCTGGGCACTCGACGGTTCCAAACATTGGATTAAAGTGGGCATTCGGGGTATTTACAGAAAGCCTCAGGTAAAAAGCAGAAGGCTCCAGGAGGGCCACACTCAGGCTTGTGGTTTTAAAGCATTACGCCAGCGTTGTGTTTGGTGAAGATGTTCTTAGGAGAGATTCAGGAGAAGTCACGTCTGTGTGACTTGTCCCATGCTGCAGTCAGTGGAGAAGCCTCACCTCCAGTGAAGAGGATGTGGGCTGAGATTATTATTAGTCTCAGTGCTGGCTTTAAGAGCTTGGGTATTTTGTAAGATATGTCGAAAAGATTAAACTGATGTGGTTTTGCCATCCCCCCCCATCGATCATCTCTCTAGCAACACTTTCACACGGTAGTGGTGTTGGAGGTGCCCGTTTGGGCCTTCCTTCAAGAAAGCACTGGCCGTTCAGCTGTAAGGTGTGCAGTCAGCTTACAGCCTCCAGATATTAGCACCTTAGCCTCTGCTTCGTCTTTTGAGCTGGGGCAGCCCCCAGTTAATGGCTGAGCCACAGCCAGCGATAGGCCTGGCCGTTTCTTTTCAATATGAGATTCCTCTACTGAGTGATCTGTGTTCTGGAATCCCCCACTGCATTGGCCAAAACTTAGAGCGGTCTGAGGCTGTCCCTGTCCAATCTTGCTCTCTGCATCTTCTATCTTCCCAAGTGTCACTCCCCGATAAATCTCTTACATTCTTAATTCTGTCCTAAGTGTCTGCTTCTCGGGACGCACTTGACACAGCCATCAGGGCCCCAAGGAAGTGGGCAGGCCAGGTGCCAATCTAGCAAAGGAAAAGATATTTTGAGGGCAACATTCTTACCGGAAAGGAAGGCACGGGGAAAGGCCTACTCTTTCCTGCCCAAGACGGTACAGAAATGAGAAGAGAGGTTGGGGGCAGGGTAAGACCTTTACATACTTGGGTGCCTCACCTCCTCCTTGGGGCCAAGCCTTGTTGGGGAGGGAACCATGGATGCGTTCAGAAAGGTATGGGGAGACTAATACCATTGGGGCAAGTGAACTATGTCCCCCATATAACCTGGAGGAGGCTGGAAGCGTCTACCGGAAGCCCCACATTTTTCGCGGCTTGAGTAGGACACGGCAGCGTTGGAAGATGGAGGGAACTTGGTAGTCAGCGATGTGATATATCCTTGCGTTACCACGTGCCCTGCTGAAGGTCAGGGATGGTTGGCAATGCAGAAGCCTGAGGTTTGGAAATGGAGGCCAGTGAGATCAAGCAGTTTGATTTCTGGGAGGAAGGGCAGCATCAATGTCCCGTGACTACAGATGCCATACCATGCCAATAAACAAACTAGACCAGGGGCGACTGAGGATACTAGCTGGGTCCAGAAACCCAGCAGGTGAGGCCACCAAGACCAGAGTTCGCCATGCTTATTCCCATACCCACAGACACATAGTAAGGACGCCTCCATCAACCAGAGGTGCAGGTGCTATGTCGGAAGACCAGGGGATAGTGGAAGAGGCCAAGATATGCTGACTGAGTGTGTAAGTCCAGCCTTTTCCTCCAAGTTCTATGTGGTTGGGAGGGTGCAAAGGTTTGATCAGTGGTAAAAAAAAACAAAGGAGCTGCATGTTTTTCCATGTCTGAGTGTGTCGGAATCAATTGGTGACCCCATCGCCCTTGAATAAAAACATTTTACGTTTTGAATGTTAGCCCAAGCAATGGAGTTAAGGAGAGGTCAGGCTTAGCATCTCCTAAGTCATAGCTGAACAGCAACTTCTCTGCAGAGAAACCTCCACGGGTTGGATAAATTACAGATTTGTGTATGGTGACGGTTGGGCTGCTCTCTGGACCGCATTTTTCAAAGGATGGGAGATAAACCACTGGTGATAGCCAGGGTGATTTTAGGTTGTGTGTAAACACCATCAGTTAGCACTGAATCACACCCAGGTATCCCATTTTCAACTTCTCCAATGTCTCGGCCCTTCTAATCACATGAGAGCAAGTTTTGGCGGTAGCCTTGTCTCTGACCTCATGAGCACTTTCCAGTTGCCGTCTTTAACAAAGTGAGAGCAGGCGTCAGACTCAGAGTACTGGCGGCCTTCCGTTCCCAGTCCATTCTGCATGAGACAGCCACCAGGACCCTTCAACAGAAGTCAAACAGTGCCCCTTCTCTGCTTAAGACCCACCAATACCTCCTCGTTTAACTCACAGGGAAAGTCCAAATCCCTTCAGTGGTGCCGAGGCCCGACTTGAACTGACACCTTACGCTACAGCCCCATCCTCTTTCTTCCACTCACTTCCTTCCCTTCCTTGCAGTGGCTTCCTGTTGGTCTCGAGTATTCTTTCCCCATATACCAGCACAGTTCACATCTCTATCTGTCAGGACTTGACTCAGATGCCCCCTGGTTATTATTATCCTAGATGGCAAATCTCTCCTCCTCGCCCATCCTTTTCTGCTTTTTGCATGCGCACGCACGATATTATTTCACTTACTGGAATGTTTTTGGGTAATTTTGTCATTTGGTAATAAATTTGTCATTCTTATTTCCTGCCTTTGTCGCCTGAATGTGAGCTCCACGCGGGCAGAATTTCTGTCTATTGTGTTTACTGCTGAATCCCCAGGCCTAAAACAGAGCCTGGTATATAGCGAATTCTCATACATGCTAATTGAATACATGAGTTCTCAGCTTGCTCCTACTAGTCATTGTCAATATCATGTCTTCCCTTTCTCAGTGCCTTGCTTTTTAATTCTCTTTCCTTTCCTGGCAAAGCAAATGCAAACAAAACAACAGCAACGACAACAACAAAAGCCCACTAGATGCTATCATTCATGGAAATTCTGATACATATTTACATATATATTTATGTTATAGATCTTCCTAAACTTACAGTGAGATTCCGTCCTAATAAACGCATCGTAAATTGAAAATATCATAAGTCAAAAATGCATGTAACACCCCTGACCTACCGAACATCGTAGCTTAGCCCACCCTACCTTAAACGTGCTCAGAATACATACCTTAGCCTACAGTTGGGCAAAATCATCTGAGGCAAGGCCCACTTGATACTAAAGTGTCGGCTGGCTCCCTCGTGTAACTTATGAGCACTGTACTGAAAGTGACACACAGAAGGGCTGTGTGGGTGCAGGCTGGTTGTGAGCTTGACCCCCGCGATCGTGCGGCTGGCAGGGAGCTGAGGCTTGTTACTTCTGCCCAGCATCACCAGAGAGGATCATACTGCGTATCATTAGCCTGGGGAAAGATCCAAATTCAGAAGTCCAAGTACGGTTTCTACTCAGTGTGCATCATTTGGGCACATTGTAAAGTTGGACACCACTGAGTCAAAGCATCATAAATCAGGACCGTCTGTCCATTTTCCTTCTAGACGCGAGATTTGGCTTGTAGAACGTCAAGGGAAGAGAATGTGGAACATTCTTGGCCTCGCCGGTCTCTCTTAGCCCCCCGGCTCCCATACCTCTTCTCTCCCTCCTGGCTGCCCCCTGCCTTTCTCCTGATCAGCGATCCATGTGGTGAGCTCTTTGCTTCAGCAGATTGCAAATCTGGTCAGGGAAGGCTGGAGCCCCGGGGTTGGGTGTCCCGACTTCCCCACACAGCCTGGCTGTGTGGCCCAAGAAACATGTGCCAGGCTGGTTCTTCTGGGGCCGCGCCTCAGCATCGCTGTTGTGCTAGACTGAAGCACAAACATGAACCTAGAACCCTGGAAGGGAGAGTGCGTCCTGGGAAGCCACCACAGGCCCGGCTCCGCCCAGCTGGCTGACTCGCATTGTTTCTCCTCACCACAGCACCGTGTCCGGGTTGTCAAGGAGATACGCAGGAACATTCCGATGGGAAAGAAACTCTTCAGAGCGTGGGTGGCAGCAGACAGGCAGTCATGGAGGACAACACCCTGATCCTTAGCTCCGCCCCTCCCACCAACCCCCAGAAGGAGCCACACAAGGGGCTGGAATTCGAGGGGCTGACTTTGGAATTCAAACCCGGAGCTGGGCCCACACATACCCCTCGGTTCTCGGTGCCCCCTTGAGCAGGAGGTTCCTGCTGCTGGATTTGTGGACTTCTCCAAGCCTCGGGGGTGGATTTGCGTTTTAAGAAGACACCTGGGTTTCTTCAAGGTTCAGGGAGATTAGTGGCTGAGCTGTTCTGCTCTCGTATGGATGTAAGGCTGTGCTAGGGCCCTTGATCACCACGGAGGCCCTGGGAAAATGGAAGGAGAGAGGCCAGGGCAAAGCCCCAGGGCCTGGGATTCCTCCTGTGAGTTCACCGGCCTTCAATAGAGCAAGGTGCACTGCGTGGAGACATCCACACCAAACTCCGAGAAGGACCACTGCCGTCCAGCCGCTGACTCTCATGACGAGCTGCCCCGTTTCTACATGCCAACCCCTGAGTCGCGGATCCAGTTTGACGAGCCTTTGGGAGCGCACCGTAATGACATAATAATGTCACTAAGCGCACCTAGTGCTCGCATCTTTCCAGAGCTTGTGTCCGTTCTCGCAATCCTCTGCACGGGAAGAGGGCTTTATTTTCCCTGCTTTGAGGACGAGAAGATGGAGGTGGAACAAGCTTCTGCAACCACAAAGTAGAAAGACAAGCATTGCAAGCCCAGGTCTCATGATCTAAATGTGGGGTGTTTCCCAGTCCCTCCCGGTAGACGAGTTCCTTAAAAACGAGCTGCACGAGTCTGACGCCTAAAACCACAGGGCTTACTGATGTGGCTGCAAACTGCTGCTCTGCTCGGCCAGAGAGAGAAAAGCCAAGTGGAAGAGGAACCACACTGCCCTGGAGGACATTAGCATGTCTCACACATGCCGAATATTTACATGTGTTCCCCCCACGGTCTCTATGGCAACCGGCAGAGGTACAGAAATGCTTGGTTGCTATTTGTAAGAAGACAAGACAAGGGTGCTCCAAAGTCCTCTTTTCCCCAGCGAGCGGGGCTATTTCCATCCACCGGCTTCGTGACTCTCCCAGCAGCCACTTGGCATGAAGATCTCCAACGGCAGGGAGCCAGTGAATGGGGCCAATAGGCGTGTGGACCTTACAGGATGGAAGGACCTCATCTCCCGCTCCCTCTTCCAGGCAATTATGCACAGAGTCAGGAAGGGATTTAGTTATTAAGAAGTCTCAATGGTGAGGAGCTGCGAGTTTGTGGTTTCCAGTTTTCAACCACAACACTTAAGGCGTGTCTCCATTTTTCTTATGGTTTCCAGGGCATACCATTATCTAATTCTCCCGGAAGAGTCGACATGGCTTTACGATGCATGTATATCGCTGATGTGCACTGAGGCTCCGAGCCAACAGGCAACCTCTTTCTCAGAAACCTCCCTCCTCGGACCTCTGTCCCGCATCGTGCCTTGAAATTGCCCCCTCCACCCCTTCTGCCACAAACGCTGCATGGAAATCTGTGGATGGGAATGAGGTCTGCGTGGCCACGACTGAAACTATAATTCAGCTCCACATCACGTGCGACAGAATAATTCTCAGCACACCGGTTTGTGACTCGAACGACTCCTGTGGCGTTTGTCAGTGCCTTGCGTGTCAAAAACACCATTCTGCGTGCTTGGGGGAAAACAAGGATAAAGATGACTCCCCAAAATCTTACAAGCTAGTTTAGCTAGGCTCATACACAGCATTGAACAAAGCATTACACCCTCCACGTGGGACCGGCACGTCTATCAAAGCCCATAGGAGAAAGAAAGCCCCTCTGCAAATGTCCCAGGGGAGGCTGGATTCAAGGGCAAGGAGCTGGTGCTGTTATCTGAGACTTGTGCTCAGGAGACCTTGCTTGAGTCTAACACAAGGCATTGCTATAGTCTTGCGTTTCTTAATTCATCTTTGAATCTGTGTTTTGTAAGTGAAGTTTGATGGGACAGTGAAGCTCAGATCACTGGTGATCCTGCCCCCTGCCCCCACCTCCTAGTGCCCCAGACCTCACCCGACTGCCTTGTCCCCACCATTCCATGAGTGCTGCCACCTTCCCCCAGGGTGGCTTGCCGGGTCTCGTCTGCGGGCAGGATGCCCCATGCTCCCATCTGCTCCCGGTAGGAGACCTAGGAGCAGATTCAGCGGGGGATGCATTGGGGCATGCACCCCACGACATCTTGGGGGAGAGCATGGCAGTGCTGTCCCTGCCCTGGGCTGACAGTGCCATGGTGCATTTGACATGGCGGGGTCTTCTCATCTACCCCAATCTGTGTATGCTGGAGGCTGAAATCCTCTGGGGGGCGGGGGGTGGGTTGAGGCGGCAGGAAAGGGGAAGGGGAGATTCTCCACTTGCCTGCCGTATGTTCACCTTGCTCTTGAACACCACCAGCGACTCTCCGTATACAGTCGAAGCAGGTCTTGAATAGCTGTCATGAATAAAGCCAATCCTGACTTCCTACCAGTTCAATTACAGCAAATAACATTCTGTTCCCCAGAACCCATTGAAACCATAAACATACCAAAACTAATTATGAAAGCGAGACGTGAGTACTATGAGGTCACCTCCTAAGTACATTTAAGACATTTATTTGATCTATGTAATATATCAGTACAATCATGATCTTACTGTATGTTTATGCATAAAACGAGTTCCACGTCCCAAGCTCTTACAAGCATTTGTTTATTATGGAAAATCAAGCACGGTGTAAAATTTACACCATACGCGTGCCTCGTGGGAGACCTTCTTGCAAAGACTGGACTGACTGAAGCTTTGTTCTCTCAACTTGGGCAGACATTTTAAGTGTTGAAAAGTGTCACTTTGATGATGATTTCTTTCAGCGCTTCCTTTGGAAAGGAAGAATTACAAATAACAAGGCAGTGCATCAGATTCCCCTCAGAGGTATATTTTTAGTGAAAAAACACCTTGTAAATTTTCCTCTTGTGCTCAACAGCGAGGCGGCCGCATAGAAGGTCTGTCCAAGCTGACACATGTTCACTGGGAGTCGGCCATGATTTGAGCCCGACCCTGGGCTGTGGGCAACATGGGGGGGGGGGGGGTGTAGCGATAAATAAAAGGGTCCCTGCCTCTAAGAAGTGTATCAGCTGAGGAAGAGACATCAATTTGTAGAAGGGAGCTGGCCAAAACCTTACGGGTGGCTGGCAGTCTTTTCGTAGCAGCTCCCTTCACCCGGAACGCCATATTGTCAGCAGACATTTCTCTTGGAAAGGCACTGTCTTGGGTCAACGTGGAGACGACCCTGTGGAAGACCCTGGAAAAATTAGCCATAAGTAACCAATATTATTGAGGGCTTGCTACATGGGAGGTACCAAGCCACAGTCCAGGAATATAATCCCTGTTTTCAAGGTGTCACGGTAAATCAGAGGAGATGTGTGTGTAAGCAAATGACAAAATAAGGTATGCATTGAAACTGGGCATGGGAAAGTGATGGTCAAAAGTTACCTAACCTTAAATCGCATCTCTGACTAGCTGGCTCACTGACTATAGTTAAGCCCTGTAACTTCTCTGGGCTCTGGTGTATTTGTAAGTGGGTTTGTGGCTGAGGGGAGAGAGCTCATCTATCTGGTTTCCAAGCTGCCTTTCTTTATTCCAATTGCCCATCTCTTTGAACCTCCTAGAAATAATCTGCGCTCCATAGGCAAGATTCTCCTTGACCTGTGTTATCAGTTTTCTAGGGCTGCCGTGACAAAGTACCACAGACTGAGGGGTCTAAACAACAGAAATTTATTGTCGCAGAGTTCTAGAGGCTGGAAGCCTGAGATCAAGATGTCGGTAGGTTGGTTCCTTCTGAGGGCTGTGATAGCATCTGTTCCATGCTTCTGCCCTACTTTCTGATGGTTTGCTGGCAATGTTTGATATCCCCTGGTTTATACAGCTCTGTGTTCATGTTCATATGGTGTTTCCCCCGGTGAATCTATGTGCAAATTTCTTTTTTTTTTTTAAACGTATACCAGCTTCTTGGTATCCTCGGTCCATCCCTATTCAATATGATAAATCTTCTTCATTTCAGTTGCCAGCTGTAGTCAGTTGGAGTGATTACCTGGGAAGTTGCACAGAAAAGGGTTGTGAATTAACATCCAAGATTAATGGGAAAGGTGATTGGAATTGGTTTGGATTTTTTAATGGCTACCGGACATAAGGAATAGGGGAGTTTGTCGTGTATCTGCTCACCCAATGAGCAGAAGGCTTTAAAATCCTGCTGCTCATTCCTAAAGGAGGGATCTCCCCAAAGAGTGAAAAAACTGCAAATAACTGCTTTTTTTTTTAGATCTCTCCAATTGAGATGATCCCCAAAAGGTGGTTGCCCATTTACAGTCTTGATGCATTCAATAATCCTTGTAGGGCTGTTCAGGCTAGCCCGGGAGAATGATCAGATCTTCAGTAGGACTCAGCTAGTCCACAATAGGCGTGAAGGGAGTTAAACCTTCAGAAAGGCATAATCAGTCTGTACTTCCTGAATGTCTTCCCTGTTGAAACTGAGAATTTGCTTTGGCTAAAGAGTTGTTGCTGGAACCAGATAGCTTCTGGAGGCACCAAAAACGAATCCTCACTCCCACTCTTGACACCTACCACATCCAAACCACCAGATGATGACAGCTGCTGTAGAAATCTAAGCAAGTGGAGTGATGCCCAGCTTGGTACAAGAGCCAAGTGATGGGGAGTGACAGGAAGTTGGTTGTCTGTGTCATTGTGGATACAAAGGAAGTACTTTCAGGACACAGAGGGGAAGTGGCTGGGGACCCTAGAGCCAGCTTTGACCATCCAAGGAAGTCCTTTGTTTTTGCTTCATCTTGTAAGGTCCTTGAGGAAAATCTAGCAGACTGACCAAAGCCAAAGCCCATTCAACACAGAGAGCATTTCAACTGAGGCTTTTGATCCTAAGACATTCAACCGAATTATGACTATCATTGATTTGAAACTTTTCCCATCATGAAAGGGAATCAGGCTCACATCCAGGCACTGTTTCAAATGTTTCCCACTGGTGAAAGCCACATCCTGTTCCATGGTATGGTAGATAGATTGCATTCATGGCCCATTTTCATGTCTCCCTGCATCTACCCCTTTAGTAGTATCCTCTCACACTAATTCTTGTTTGGTCATGTAATCAACTTTGACCCCAACAGAGGCTTGAAAAACACTAGTCCATTTCTGCCTACCCTCTGTGACCCTGGCCCTCCTCATGAGAACATTCTCAGGCTATTCTGCTAGAAGTAAGTCAGGAACACATGGAAGAGAGCCAAGTTGTCCTGTCATCTTAGACCGGGTATCCCCAGTCACCTAACAAACTGACCACAGCCACATAGGTGAGCCCAGCTGGCATCAGTCAAACTGAACCCAGACCAGGAGAACTGCCCAGCTGACCTGTAGACTTGTGAGAAATAAGGAATGGTTGTTACTTTAAGCCACTAAATTTGGGAGTGGTTTGTTATGTAGCAATAACTAACTGCTACATAGGATCTCCCACATGTAGGGCTAAAGAGGGAGAATAAAAGATTATGTATAAGCTGTGGTGTCCACCGCTAAAATTCAGTCATGACTAGGAAACTCTGAGGAGCTGACAGGGCAGGTCTAGTAGAAGGTTATTTGCATGAGGTGCCTCCCAGGAGAGAACTCATCCCAAGGGAAGAACAAGTCAAGCAGAGAAGCTTGGGCTGGGAACAAAGACTTAGTCATCAGAGGCTGAGAAAATCCACCCTAGTGTCTATTATTCTAATGGGTCTTTTGGCTTAAACTCAATGAAGTCTTGTCTGACTTTTATGGTGGAGGGTACAGGAAGAGTATGGGCAAAAGGTATCTCCCTAACAGCCCTGTAGGACACTGGAGTACAAGTTCCCCAGCTTTGGGATCAGTGTGGAAAATTGTAGAGCTAAAGCAGCAAGAGGGGGTCTATGTCCTCTTTCTATGTCTCGAAACACAGGTTTGGTACCCAGAAGACTCCAGCTTTGGTAACCAGAAGAATCCAGCACCTCCATCAAAGATAGGGCATCCAGAAGAA